ACTATGTCTCTCGGCTGGCCTGGGAACGCCTCGGGATTCCCCCAGAGGAGTTGGAGGAAGTGGCTGGGGAGAGGGAAGTCTGGGTTTCCCTGCTGAGGCTACTGCCCCCGCGACCCAACCTCGGATAAGCGGAAGTTAATGGATGGATGGATGGTTAGTTTATGTGTGAGTGTCAGATATTGTTAAGCACTTTGGTCATCCACGGTTGTTGTTAAATGTGCTATATAAATATAAAAAAAAAAATAAAAAATATTGCGAAGATTTGATGGGGTTAAAAAAGTTCCATTGATCATTAAAGACTGAAGACAACCACCCATACAAGTTGTTTAAATTCACTGATATGTTATGTCAACTTGATGATTAATTTTTAAATAAATCCATACTTAGTAACTCTGTCTGTATCAGAACTCCCCCAACCACAGGATCTTACAATTGACAACGTGTCCCCTGAGTCTGTGACTCTGAGCTGGCAGATACCAGTGGAGATGCTGGGCCACCCAGAGCAGTATATGGTTACCTGGGACTTCAAAGGGATGAAGAAACACCTCAAGGTGAAAGATAGGAGTGTGACCACAGAGAACCTGTCATCGTCACCTACGTTTGCAATGGAGAGCAGCAAAAATCAGTGGAATTGGAATCCAGTGCCGATACAGTCATTCTGTTAGATCTGAAACCTGGAACAGAGTACAGCTTTATCATTGGTACAATGCTTCAGACAGGAAGCCGAAGCAGAGAGAATTCAATCTGCGTGTCCACAAGTACGTACATTCGTCATGGTGGATTCTGCATGACTGGAATTTGTTTGTTTTTTGTCAATTTATTTTCAGTTTATTGTTAATGTCACAGATAAGTCTCGTACCATGTTTTTGAAGGCAAAGCACACTTCGTTGTGATTTTTTAAGTTCAGTCTATCGTATTAAAAGCTTTGTTTACATTTTGAACATTGCACCAGGTGCAGAAATGCAAGTTGTCTTGTAATGTCATATAGAATGTGCAATTTTGACCCAGATTAATACCTCTATAGTTTCAGATTTGCTTTTAAGACGTCTCCCCTTTTCACTATCAGAACCTTCAGCACCACAAAGTTTGACTGTCTCGTCCATGGATGCAACTTCTGCTAATGTTGGCTGGGAGGAACCGTCAGACATGGAAGCCATTCCTCATAAATTTAGCGTGACTTGGTTGAGCACTGGCCGACCAAGCAAGTCCCTCACCACAGATGAGAACCTTGCGGTGCTGTCTGACCTGAGACCCGGGACGGAGTATGAGGTCACTGTGTGCACTGTATTAGAAGACAGTGAACTGGAGAGTGATCCAGCCTGCACAACATTCTGCACAAGTACGTCAATTTGGTCTGTTCATGAGGGGTGTATTGATGAAGCAAGTTTCAAGGCTGCAGGCTTTGACTATGTCATTATACAGTATATACAGTCGAATTTCGTTACAACGT